ATTACCTCCAGAAAAAGCTGTTGTGAGAAGATTAGTGGGAAGTTTGTCCTCCCATTATTGCTATTGATCATTTTGGAGAGACCCTAGACCCCTCTCCTTTTAAAGTTCTTCTTCTTCTTAGCAATTAATTCTAAAAAGACATCTCCTAGCTGAGACTGAATTGTTGGTGTGCGTGGGACTGTGATTGTGTGACCAGCAGTCAGTACTGGGACAGGTTTGTCCAGTGACCAGGGCAAGTATGTGGAACTGCGCTCCCTCCCCCGCTGCTAATGCATGATGTAGAATGGGTGTACCACCCTGTGCCCTATCTTCTGCCCTCTTGCTCTGGCTGCCCATGGTTGGCATGGAGTGTGTAGTCAGTCGCTTGCTTTCTAACAGCTAGACGGTAGTTGCACATGCACAGTGTGTTTTTGTGTCAGCTATGGGTGGGATGGAGAGTGGGCACATTGAAGCATGATGTGACAGCAGTAACTGTCAAAGCCGAAATGAAGCCATGGTTCGCTGGTTGCCAGCCATGGATCTGCAGTGTGCAGTGAGGGGGCAAACTCCTCCACCTCTGTGCCCCCGGGCAGCTGCCCCTCTTGCCCTCCCCTTGTTCCAGCCCTGCCGGCAGCCTCTGTACTATTTGGGAGAACCTAGGCATAACCGCAGCGGTGAACACTCCACACAGTATATATATTATTTCTTCACAGTGTATGCAGTGCTTCCTTAATACCTAGTTTTATATAATAAGTATTTTAGGATGATGGCACCCATGGACAAATCATTTCTTCTATTTACTTGGACAGGCTCTGTGTACATGACGATCTAGGACGTATCAATAATCCCCTTAATCTTCAGCCATTACACGTGTGACTGATTTGTGACAATAATATGTCAGATTTTTAGACTCTGGGGTTAAGTCCCAGGCCTGTGGAATAATTGCCTTGGTGAAAAGGCCGTGGCCTGCAGCCTGTACACGTGGGTGAGACAGCCGTGTCCTGTCCTGTTCTAATGTGAAACGGGGAAAGTGCTATGAGCAGGTTGGGAAGGTCAGGAAAAGGACAATTTTAATAGCGTAGGTGGGGACAGGCGAGGTATACAACTCTCCCCGGGGGGCATCCACAAAGGAAAGTGAGTGAGGAAGTTATACAGTAAAGCAGTTATCACACTGGCAGGTGGGGAAATAAAGGAAGGAGAGGAGATTGGAATAGGAAACAGGACCTGTAGAAACCTGCAGAGGGGAACGGAGATCAGTACAACGAGATGGCCTATGTTAGCTCTATCCTGGGATGTGACAGAACCCAACGTGCCCTCCGTGTGCCCCCAGTCATACTGGGAATTTGCTGGGTGCCCCAAGACGTGGCCCAGACACGCTGCTCTCCGATAGAAAGCTTTCACAAAGCTGGATCCCGGCCACAAATAACACAGGATCTGCCAAAGAGCCGAGGAATTCAAACAATCAAAATTGTTCTCAAACTGGCACAAATGAAAATGAGCAATTCCATTGCAGCCAGCCGCCAGACAAACACTTTTATGTGTCCTTATAAACGATTACATAAAACAATGCCTACACAGCACCATGGCACTGCATCGGCCGGAATATCTGCACAATGGCGCACACCGCCCATGCCAGCCTATGTGGGCGAAATACAGGTTTGTGTTCCATTTGTGATTTCTAAAAAAAACGCGGCTTGGCAGCAACAGGAATAATTCTGTCAGCAACAGTCACTTTTTTCATAGTCCTGCAATCACATTGTTCTTTTCCAAACTTTGTTTTTTAATTTATATTGGTAAAGAGGAAATGAAGTTGTGTCCAAATAAAGTGCCAGAATAAAGTGCCAGAAATAACACTTTGTAATGTATATGCCGTCAGGAAACGTAAAAGTAAAGTACAACTATGGCCAAATTAACCTCTTCCTACCCATGTAATGCATATGTGCAGTGGAAAAGAGGATTGGTGGTACTGCCCACAGACCGCACATATGTGTCCACAGACAGCCAAGGTTTCTGTGCTGAGAGCACGCTGTACAGTGACCAGGATGTCTTAGCAGCTCCCTGCCACTAGTAATGATTGGGACACAACAGAACCGGGACAGTCAATCACAATGGTCACATGACCAGGCAGTCCTTCCTGTCCCTTGGGTGTAAAGACCCTGTTAAAGGAGAAATCTGGGAATCGGCAGGAAGGTGATAAAAAATACAGGTCAAACCATTTTTCAACAATTTATCCTGTACTAAAGAAACCAGTCTACTAAGGGTGACAACACTGTTTTCACTGTAGTGAATTAACTGCCGTGTTGTCACCCCATGCAGTGGCATCCTGTGATACACTATATTGCCAAAAGTATTGGGACACCCCTCCAAATCATTGGATTCAGGTGTTCCAATCACCTCCATGGACACAGGTGTATAAAATCAAGCACCTAGGCATGCAGACTGCTTCTACAAACATTTGTAAAGAATGGGTCGCTCTCAGGAGCTCCGTGAATTCAAGCGTGGTCCCGTGATAGGTTGCCACCTGTGCAATAAGTTCTTCTGTGCAATTTCCTAGCTACTAAATATTCCACGGTCAACTGTTAGTGGTGCTATAACAAAGTGGAAGCAACTGGGAACAACAGCAACTCAGCCACCAAGTGGTAGGTCATGTAAAATGTATAAAGGCATTGCTTTGTAGGAGCAATATTAATGTTGTCACCGCTGATAACCTTTCCTGCCAATCAGAGCAGAATGTATCCAGACAAGATGAAGATTTCATTGCTTTGCAAAGAATGCATTAAAGAAATACATAAAAGGTTAGGCAGTTGTGGGAACGGGGATCAGACAGTGAAATTTGCCTATAGAGAGATTTTAAATGCACACCAGGAACCAGTCTGATATTGCCTTCAAGTCATCTGCTCTGCCTCCCATTATGAGTATTCCGCAGCTATTAAAGTCTCTCACAAACGAGCAGTACAGATTTCCTGCTGGAGTGTGAGACAATCTCATGATCGCATTGCTGTAATCTCTCATCTCCATTGTAAACTCTTGGGAATGGAGAGAGAAGAGACATGGTGCTTCACAGGCAGCCCGCCTACCAGCATGCAGGAAAAGAATAAGCTTCTAATAACTTAAAGTGGCTGTAAACCTTAGACATAAAATATATCAACAAAATATAAACTGTGTACCTCTATAGCATGTATTTGTCTCAATCCAGAGCACTAAGTGTTATTTCTGTTTGCTGCCTCCTTCCTCTGCTATCAGCATAAGTCATTACTGTCCAGTTTTTCTGACACCAACAGAAAAAGGTGACAGGGGAGGGAGGTCCAGCACACAGCCTGTGATTGACATCCTCAGTTCTGTTCCTGTGTGCTGTGTGAAAAGGGGCGTGTCCCTTCTCTCCAATCAGCTCTCCTCACTGAGTGTAACTTCATCTCCTCACTCCCTACTTTATGAAAGCTCAGAAAGCTGTATAACTTATGCACTTTGAACAGTTGTAGAGGAGAAGAGGATGCAGATAAACAGGTACAACTTATAAAAGAGGATTTGTTTCATCTCTGTGTATCAGCTGAGGACAGTCACTTTTCCAGGTATATGTTATGGTTTACAACCACAACCACCAAAAAACTATCCAAGAAGATGTAAAGACTTTGTATTATTCGGCAGAGGTTCCAGAGGAATTTGTATGTTATGTACAGTATATGTAAGATAATAAAAAAAAACCTTGTATTTATTCTCCCCCAGCCTCCTTCCTGTGGTTGTTGCAGTGGTCCTATATGAGATTGGGATTGATAATGATTATGGCTAATTCATTTATAAGGGGTTTGGCTGCTTCAATAACAGAGGATATTTGAGACTCTGGGTAAGGGAAGGTCAGAGGGTATTTGAGACTCGGGGTAAGGGAAGGTCAGAGGGTCTTTGAGACTCGGGGTAAGGGAAGGTCAGAGGGTCTTTGAGACTCTGGGGTAAGGGAAGGTCAGAGGGTCTTTGAGACTCGGGGTAAGGGAAGGTCAGAGGGTCTTTGAGACTCTGGGTAAGGGAAGGTCAAACTGCAGGGGCGGACTGACAACTCATGGGGCCCCCGGGCAATAGGGGATCATGGGGCCCCTGTGTCCTTGCCCAAACTCAAAAAAAGCCTATGAAAAAGGTACCAGGGGCATCCTACTGACCCCGGACCCTCGGGCAGTGCCCGAGTTTCCAAATGGTTAGTCCGCCCCTGGGTCAGAGGGTCTTTGAGACTCTGGGCAAGGGAAGGTCAGAGGGTCTTTGAGACTCTGGGTAAGTGAAGGTCAGAGGGTCTTTGAGACTCTGGGTAAGGGAAGGTCAGAGGGTCTTTGAGACTCGGGGTAAGGGAAGGTCAGAGGGTCTTTGAGACTCTGGGTAAGGGAAGGTCAGAGGGTTTTTGAGACTCTGGGTAAGGGAAGGTCAGAGGGTCTTTGAGACTCTGGGTAAGGGAAGGTCAGAGGGTCTTTGAGACTCTTGGTAAGGGAAGGTCAAAGGGTCTTTGAGACTCTGGGTAAGGGAAGGTCAGAGGGTCTTTGAGACTCTGGGTAAGGGAAGGTCAGAGGGTCTTTGAGACTCTGGGTAAGGGAAGGTCAGAGGGTCTTTGAAACGCTGGGTAAGTGAAGGTGCAGGAGAACCCAGATGTATCCGGAGACAAGATATTCCAACTGTGTCTTTATCCATAATACTAACCATCATGTTTGGAGGGTGTTGGGGTGCCCTCTCCTGCAGGGTTTATCATACTTGGGGAAGCACTGCTGCTATCGTCTTCCTATATCTCTCCACCAAGCATTATCCACCCTAAAAAAGGGGCTCCTAAGACTCCCCCAAAACACATTGGCTGGTTTTATGTGTCACTGAGCACATAAGAAGGCACAATCGGGATAGGCTGTCTTCAGATCTTTTCATTTTGTCTTTCTTGCCTTACTCACAGCTTTCTTTTAGACATTTGTATGAACGTGTTTATATTGTTATTCTGATTGGAATTTTTGTCCTCTGTGCAGGACCTGTGCGGAGCCTCTACCTGCGACACTCTAGGCATGGCGGATGTGGGCACCATGTGCGATCCGAAACGCAGCTGCTCAGTGATAGAGGACGATGGTCTGCCATCCGCCTTCACAACAGCACATGAGCTGGGTGAGTCTTCCCTCCACATTCAACACCAAGGGCCTCATATGTATAACTGAGATGGTGCCGGAGACAAAAAAAAAACACTGCAACTGTGTTAGTCTCAAATCTTAGAGAAAATGTTACCCAATCAATGAAAGTAGAAGCATGGCCTTGTGTTATGAAAACTATGTGCAGAACGTAATTAATAAATCCATCTGTACTTACAGTTTTCTCTTATTGCCCGCTGTACAAATACCTCTTGATCCTGCCTAATGCAGCTGCCTGTGATGGCCTGACAACAATGCTGCACTGCTCCTCCAATTCAGAGCAGAGCTGTCACCTTCATGTAGGCTGTGCACTAATATGATAGGATGAGAAGATGCACCAGGGGTGTGTCTATCAGCATTGTCACTAGTCTGTAGCCTATCCATCAGTCCCTGGCCCACACCTAGTCCATCCCACTGCTTCCTTGGATTGACAGCACTGCAGCTGCGGCTGAAACCCTCCCACTGTGAGCTGCAGTGTCTAGGAGGGGGAACGTGTGAGATGCAAATGAAGGAGAATTTGGTTCAGTCAGGGAAGGTAAGGGAAGTTTGTTGTTACTTTATGAGGCTTGTGTAACTGGAGTTGGACTTGTTTAGACTGCCATTCAGGAGTCTTTAGCTGTACTTTAATGGGAATGTGCTAATTGGGTTTAGATCTACTTTTGAACAGTACTTTGACAACTATTTTGACAATAACAGTGTCCCTGTATATATATACTTGCCGCCAATACTGTATACACAGACTATAGGAAAGTGTCCACTCTTGCACCATTCTTACCCTGCAGCATATATCTGGGGTTTGGATACGTGGACCCTTTGATGACATTTTCTGCATGCTGTCAGTCGGGAGGAGAGACCATTGTGCAGTATATCTCATAGCAGAGCTGTGATGATGAATAACGTGTCCAGAAATACAGACATTTCTTTGTGGATAAATCGGGCGGCTGCACACAGAGATGAGAGGGTGCAAACAATTCACAGACTGCTTATTTCCTTCCTGAGCCAGTGTGGTCAGAGTCTGGGTTTGGCAGCAGCACAGGATCCAGAAATACGCTGACATCTCTGCACTGACTCTTGTCCGGTGCTGCCTTCTGCCACCCATACCAGCATGGCACTGAAATGGCCAGGAGTAGCCAACACATGAGCGGACATACTGTGTGTGATATAGCTCAGAGCCAAAAGGATAAAGAGGACAGCAAGGTGTAGGTGGCAGAGGTCACATTGTAGGTGCCCCGTGAGTTCTGGGTGAAGGCTGGACCCTGCTAGGTGGTACCATGTAATGATGGCATAAATATGCATCGATCAACGCAGGCTCAACACAAGGTCACAGTTGTCTTCTATGTGCCCTGTTCACAACATACAAGTGGTGGTTTGTGTTGCATAAAAATGCAGCAAGTCTACATTTTAATGCTGCACAATGTACAAAAACATGTTAAAATGCATGGCAGAGTGTCACAACATGTCATTGTACATAGAGTCAAATGAAGTGAGACGGTCAGATTCTGCTGCTTTGTTATAGGAGACAATCAGAGCCTGCTGTGGTCTTCTAACATACCAGCTACCAGCATGCAGTAGTCCTGAACCCCAACACTATCTGTGGCCCGGTACATCTGATTGTCTTCACATTGCTGGTAACATGCAGTTTGCCATCCTACCCCAGCATTTCACTTTCTTCATTCTCCCTCTCAGGCATATTGGTGTTCATCGTTAGAATAGAACTTTCTGGATACATAGTGATTACACAGCGTATGCCCCCCCCCCCCTGCAGACAGACTGGAATCTACGTACCTCCAGCAATTCAAAGCACTGAGAAGAATGTCCTCCAAGTGTTACCAATCACATGTACACTCTCCTTCTGATCTTCCCAACCACTATAGCCCGGGTTGGAGAAGTTTCTTTCTGCTTGGATTAGGGAAGCTGTAAATCTGATCATCCTAACTTCAGTTCTGGGCGGCATGCGGTGCTCATTAAATCAGAGTAAAGTGCAAGTGGAGGCCAGCCTCTGCAATAGGATGATCATGATGAAGGGGGCTCATTCACATGGTGGATGGTTAATCCATCATGTCTACAAGAGTAGACATGATGGATTAACCAGTTGATACCCCATGGGCGTTGAAGAGTTCAGTACCCCTTGTTCTGACTGTACACCATCCGTCACATTCTACAAGTGCAGATTAACCATTTGAATATCAGCATTGTATGGAAAATTTCACTACAATCAATGGGTTAAGGCAAGTTCGCAGCCAACATGTTGTTTTTAAAGTGATATTACACTCTCAGTTTTTAAGCACTTCCAGTAGCTTATTTAATCACTTAATGAGTATGCAGCTTCTTCATCTTTTACACCCCGGTCACATCAAAGCCCATTTTGAAATCGTGCGACTTACAGTGAATTTGCACAATTTCAAAATCGGGCGACCTGCCGATTTCATTGCGATTTGCAAGACATCTGATACAGATGTCTATGCAAATTGAAAAAAAAGTAGTGCGGCTCCAACCAAGTCAGAACCGCACCGATATGACCGCTTTAATTGTGGACATATGGGTGCGACTTGGCATACAATTTAAAAGTCACATGGCATGCAAATTGCTTGCCAAGTCACACCCGATGTGACCGGAGGCTTAATCCTTGCCTATGTTCCACTTTAAGCTGGTGTTATAATCACTGCTCCTGCTTTCCTGTTTCAGGGTGACGTCTATCGCTTGCATTGTCCTATGGAGCTACCTTTACATGCAGGGACTGGAGTTGTGTCTCACTACACTGTATGCATCAATACAAATCCATAGCCCATGGCCTAGAATAGCAAAGCATGTCTCTGCTCCTCCTTCCACCTGCCCCTTTCTACAAGCTAACATATGGGCTTAGACTGCACTGTCCTCTATTAACTCTTTCTTGTGAATACTGGAAGTTGAGGGAAGCAGCACTGAAAATGTAGGAGCCAGCAGCATTGAAAGTTGTAAGCTGCAATTGCTGGGGTAAGAATTTTAATAAATGGTTCATTTTATTGTGCTTAATGTATTAAGCCAAAAATGCTGAAGGTGTAATGCTACTTTAATCTTGGTTGGCCTCCAAAGGGATTTGGCCAGCTAAAAGGGCAAAAAATTACTTTTCCAATCCCCATCCCCATTGTTTTCTTCAATGTTTTGATGTCCCAGTGAATGCCGAAAACCAAAAGGAGATGATGTGATTGACTGCTGAAGTTATCAGAGCCAGTTTACCTCTCAGACGTATTGATGAGACCCTAGTAGAAATAGCAGAGTCTATACATAATAAATCACAGGACACCTGTGCAACCAATCAGATATTTGCTGTTACTGTGTGATATGTACTAGTGTAGTGCTCAACCCCTAAAGGGCCGCTGATTTGGTTCCAAGGTTTTTTTCCCTGAGTAGGTGATCTAGCAGTTAGACCAGTGTTTCTCAACCTTTTTTTTTAGTCAAGGCACCCTTTAAAATTATGGACAGTCCCAAAGCACCCTTTAACATTATGGACAATCTTGAGGCACCCCATTGGATAACTGGATGCCTCCTTCCAATATCTTCCAGACACCTCTCCTGTGAATTCTCCAGACCAGATCTCTAAAAGAAGCCACTCAGTCAGCTCTAGCAAAGTTCAGTAGAATAGGCATAGCTTGGGACCTCAATGAGAACAGAGAAAAGCACAGCTGGACTACCCAGACGATCAGCAGCCCTTTAAGCTGGGATCTCCCTGGATAGGAACCCTTCTGTTCCAGGCCTCACTATTTATGTTCCTTCCCAGCCACCATCTGGGCACCCTCCCACAAGGATTGGCTGGAACCACATAAATATTCAGGCTGCTAATTTGACTCTCCCAGCCCACTACTTTCCAGAACCGTTCAGATGGCAGGGGGAAGCAATGAAATCTGCAACCATTGAGACACAGAACAGCCCAAAATAATCACTCAACTGATTAAATTTGCTTGGCATAACTAGCAACCCAACTAAGAGGGGGCTATAGTAGAATAATGAGCACAATGTCCTTTGTTCTGTTGCTGTGTGATTTCTGTGTGCTCTTTTTTACAACATTAGATCTGAGACATCCCCCCCTCAACATTTGATTTCCTGTTGATCCTGCCAGAAGATCTGCTATTTGTCCTCTTCCTGTAACAGGGTAACAGCATTATTCGTTCTACGGCGCTAACCCACAGCACTGTGAGGACAAGGAAATCAGACCTCAGTAACATAGCAAAAATGTCTGAGCTGTGGCAAGATTCCTGTGGATTCCTGCAGCTGGATGTACAGGTGGATGTGGACAAATGTAGCCAATAAAGCTGGCCATAAACGTATAGATTTTCGTTGAAGAATTTTCATTTCAAGAATATTGGTTTGATTTTCTAATCGTTAATGGGGTCAAATTGATGTTTGTTTTCGCCAGCAGTGACGGGAAAAGTAGAAGGGGCAGGAAGGAAAATTTTTCTCAATCAAACAAATTTTTGGCCACTGTATGTGGTCATCGTTCAGAAATTACATTCATTTTAAACTTGAATGTAAAATGCAAAAGACAATTTTAGAACAGCATTCATCCATTCACCGAATGTTCAAAGAATTTTCGTACGACTTTTCTTGCGAATATTCTCGGCCGAAAATCTACAGGTGTATGGCCAGCTTAAGTCTGTACAAAGCAATGACAGGCCATTAGTGACTACAGCTGGTGGCTGCTGTTCAAATGTAATCACACAGCCCATCTCCAAGATACGCCCGTTCCTAACCTTGGAAACCACTAAGCAACTCATTCACTCCCTTGTTATATCTCGCCTTGACTATTGTAACTCCCTCCTCATTGGCTGACCTCATCGCAGGCTATCCCCTCTTCAGTCTACCATGAATGCTGCTGCCAGACTCATCCACCTTACTAACCGTTCTGTATCTGCCAATCCTCTCTGCCAATCCCTCCACTCAGTGTCCTCCACCCCTCTCTGCCAATCCCTCCACTGGCTTCCCATTGCCCAACGGATAAAATTCAAAACACTAACAATAACATATAAAGCCATTTATAACTCTGCCCCAAATTACATCAACGATCTTGTCTCTAAATATGCCCAAACCGTACTCTCCACTCCTTGCTTGTCCTCCTACTCTCTAGCTCCCTTGTCTCCTCCTCCCATGCTCGTCTCCAGGACTTCTCCAGAGCTTCCCCCATCCTCTGGAACTCTCTACCCCAATTTATCAGACTATCACCTACTCTGCTCATATTTTAGGCGATCTCTGAAAACCTATCTCTTCAGGGAAGCCTATCCTTCCCTCAGCTAATAATGGAATCTTCTACTCTTCCAACCAGTCCACCCCCACAGTGACTACCTTTTGTACCACTAGCCCCTCCCTCCTAGATTGTAAGCTCCGAGGAGCAGGGCCCTCCTATCCCTCTTGTATTGAACTGTATTGTTACTGTATTGTCTCCCGTTATATTGTAAAGCACTGAGCCAACTGTTGGCGCTATATAAATCCTGTATAATAATAATAATAATAATAATCACACAGCCAGGATTTACCTGTGGGTATAAATGATCACACTTGGATGCAAGCAGTTTATGTCCAGGGATGATCATCTGTCATTAGTTGCAGGTAACCGCTCCACATGGGGTTACTTCCAGACCACAGTGGACAACTGCTACCTCAGCTGCACCTCAGTAGGACATGTTGCGTCCAAAGAATTTCAGCACAATTCAACGCCGGTCAGATGCAGCCTATGACCTGCCATGTGCAGCAGTCAATTAAAGCCAATAGGAACTTGCTAACCTGCATTTGATGAGTGTTCCAAACTAATGTCGACTACAAGAAAACAATGCCCATTGTATGGTTTATACCAACCCTTGTAACTGTCACTTTAGCTGGACAGCTTGGCCCTCAGGTAATGTAGAAAAAAAATATATCTGCAGCTATGTGACAAAAAAATAGAATTCATATACTGAATAGTATTATAACTCCATATTGTTACCATATTTTTCTCCCTTTAGTGGGCCTTTAAGTGGCTCTCCTGTTGTCACATCCTAGTGACAGTATAAATTGCAGTGTCTGTACACAGATGTAGTTTTGACGTTGGGGCGTGTCCTTTGTATGATATGTGTTCTGTAAGTGAAGTCACCCTGTCTGTATGTACATACATTCCTCGTATCTCCCAGAGATTAGGACAAATCTCTCACCCCCCCCCTCCACTTCCGCACACAATGTCTTCCACATGTCTGTACAGTTTCAGGATGTGATCCCCAGGGATGCCAGGAGTAAATCACAATTGCTCAATATTACCACTTCTCAATTTACCAATTGTGGAAATAATTTGGTTACAGATCTTGTCAGCCTCCTCTCTTAACTCTTTCCTCTCCCTGTAGGTCACGTCTTCAATATGCCACATGACAATGTCAAAGCCTGTGAGGAGGTGTTTGGAAAACTCAAAGAGAATCACATGATGTCACCCACATTGATCCAGATTGACCGAGCCAAACCCTGGTCAGGGTGCAGTGCCGCCATCATCACCGACTTCTTAGACAGCGGGCATGGTGAGTCAAGTATGCTTCTACCACAAAGTGCAGTTCAAGGGAACACTGGTACTGTAACAATGAGGGGTGCATTGGGTCCTGTAGTGTAATAAATGGAGGGGTACAATGGTACCTGAACAGTGACAAGTGAGGGGTGCAATGGGTCCTGTAGTGTGATATATGGAGGGGTACAATGGTACCTGAACAGTGACAAGTGAGGGGTGCAATGGGTCCTGTAGTGTGATATATGGAGGGGTACAATGGTACCTGAACAGTGACAAGTGAGGGATGCAAAGGGTCCTGTACTGTGGTAAATGGAAGAGCACAATATTGCCTGTACAGTGATGGAGGGGGATGCACTTGTACTGAGATAGGCGATGGGTACACTGGCACCTCTAAAGTGATAGATGAGAGTAAATGGCACCTCCAGAGAGACAAGTGAGGGGTACACTGGGTACAGTACAGTCATAGATGGGGGGGGGGGGGGTTGGGGGGGTACACTGGTGTCTGTTCCCTATTTAGTGATAAATAGGGGATATACTGACACCTTTACAGTAAAAGATAGGGGTACACTGGCGCTTATACAGTGATATATAGGGGGTACACTGACACCTGTAGAATAATAGATGGGGGGTACACTGACGCCTATGCAGTGATGGATAGCGGGTTCACTGACACATGTACAGTGAGAGACAGGAGGTACACTGAAATCTGTACCGTGATAGGTAAGTGGTATACTGACATCTGTACAATAACAGGGGGGGGGGGGGGGGGGGGGGGTTACACTGACATCTGTACAGTAATAAATGGGAGGGGGGGGGGGAAACTGACACTTGTACAGTAACATATGGGGTACACTGACATCTGCACAGTAATATATGGGGGGGGGGGGGTACAGTGGTGCCTGTACAGTTATAGGTGAGAGCACACTAACGCCAGAACAGATAGGTGTGGGAAGAGGCATAACTAGAACCTTCAGGGTCCCTGGTGAGAAACCATGAAGGGCCACACTGACCTTGGCTGGGGCCCTTCTTTCCGAGCTCGGGCCCAGAGCCCTTCCCACTAATCCTGGGGCCCTTCACTACCATTGCAGGACCCTTTATTACAGTGGAACCCATTCTCATGTTCTGCAGCAGGCCCCCTTCCTGCTATCTTGGGCCTCCCCCACATGGTGGCGGAACACCAGGGCCCGACTTCAAGTGCAACCTTTGCGACCCTGGTAGTTCCACCACTGGTGTCAGTAGAACTGTGAATGGTGTCAGTCAGTAGAGAAGTGAATGGTCTCAGTATGGCAGTGGACTTTGTCAGTAATGCAGTGGACTTGGTCAGTAGAGCAGTGAACGGTGTCAGTATGGCAGTGAACTTTGTCAATAGAGCAGTGAACGGTGTCAGTGCGGCAGTGAACTTTGTCGGTAGGGCAGTGGACGTGGTCAGTAGAGCAGTGAACAGTGTCAGTACGGCAGTGAACTTTGTCAGTAGGGCAGTGGACGTGGTCAGTAGAGCAGTGAACAGTGTCAGTACGGCAGTGAACTTTGTCAGTAGGGCAGTGGACGTGGTCAGTAGACCAGTGGACACTGTCAGTATGGCAGTAGACTTTGTCAGTAATTTCTTATTTTTGTTATTTTATATTTTTAGTATTTTTTACTATTTAATTTTATTTTATTTTTTTTTTTAATTTTTAGGACCCCCCCATGGGGGAAGGGGGGGCTTTGGTGAAATATCAGGGGTCTAAACAAAAACAGAGAAAGGATATTGAGGATGCAGCTCTCAATCTCCATCTCTACAGCATCAACTGCTCAGAATGAATGGACAGGAATATCTCTGTACAGAGCTTCCCTTTCATTTACAAACTGAAGCACAGTAAAAACAGTTTACTAAGCTTCAGTTATGAACGAACACGGTGATCGGTACAGATCACTGACTGTGTCTATCAATAAAAGGAGGGGACCAGTAAATGACATATTTACTGGCCCCTTTCCCCACTCTCCATCCTGAAAGCATCCAACTCAGAGGGAGAAGGGGGGAGATCAGGATAGCACACAGGGGCACGGCTGGAGCAGCAGAAAACTAGTAACCTGGCTAGGACGGGTGACCTCCTATCTTGGTCAACAACCAGATATGACAGGGGAACCGCATAGGCCCCCTGAAGCATGAATTGCGACCCCTATAGTTATGTCTCTGGGTGCAGGGTACACTGGCACCTTTAAAGGTAGTGGTGGAGAGGTACACTGGCACTTGTACAGTGATAGGTAAGGGATTTACTGGCACCCGTTCCCTGTTCAGTTATAGCTAGGGCTGCACTGACACCTATATAGATGGGGGATACACTGGCACCTGCACAGTGATAGGTAAAGGGTACACTGACATCTGTACAGTAATATATGGGGGTACACTGACACCTGTACAGTGACAGATAGGAGGTACACTAACATCTGTAGAGTAATAGGTGAGGAGTACACTGACACCTATACAGTGATAGATGGGAGGGGGGACACTGGTACCTGTACAGTGACAGATGAGGGCACACTAGCACCAGAACAGATAGGCGAGGGGTACACTGGCACCTGTAAAGAGATTGTGGTGGAGGTTGGAGGGGGGGGGGGGTACACTGGCACCTGTTCCCTGTTCATTGATAGATGGTGGGTACAGTGACACCTATACAATAAAAGATGGGGGGGGGGGGGGGTACACTGACATGGGCGAAGTCATGCAAATAATTCCTTTTTTCCCCTCTTTTTATCTATTGGTACATTCAGAGTAGCTCTGTAGTGTAGGGCTTGTGAGTCCAGGGGTACAGTACAATCAATAAGGTCATGGTGGGTCGGTACAAAAGGAACCAAAAAGCCCACCTCTAAACTACAGAATGGCCTTCTTAAGGTATTACACACCCTCTTGGTCTCTTTATAATGGCGTTTCATTCTCTGTTTAGGTGAATGTCTCCTGGATGAGCCAGCAAAGCCTATCACAGTTCCTGATGAGCTCCCTGGAGTGCGTTACAGCCTTAGCCGACAGTGCGAACTGGCATTTGGCCTGGGCTCCAAGCCTTGCCCTTACATGCAGTATTGTACCAAGCTGTGGTGTACAGGCAGAGCCCGGGGGCAGCTGGTGTGCCAGACCCGCCACTTTCCCTGGGCTGATGGTACCAGCTGTGGTGAGGGACGGTTTTGCCTGAATGGAGAGTGTGTGGAGAAGCACAACACTAACCGATATAAGGTGAGAAATAAAGTCATATTATACCAGTAATTTCAATACAAGGAAACATAGTGGGGTCTATTTATAAAAAAAAATAGATGTGCGAATGCCTTAGCATTTGCACAGGTGTTGCAAATAGTCCCTGCAATGTGTATATCAGCCATTCTCAACCAGAGTTCTGTGGCACCCTAGGATTTCTTCAGAAATTCCTTGGGGTTCCTTGCAATGTGACTGATTGTCCTCCCATTTAATGGTTCTTGCATTGTTCTGAAGCCATCACTACTTGCCAGAGCCAGATGCAGGACACCAATGGTCTTTTTAACTGTATGTAAGGGTGGCACTCTGATCACCATTGTAAGAGGGTAATTCTCCCCACTGGCCATCAAGGTAAGTACATTCTTCCCACTGGCCATCAAGGTAAGGGGCATCCTTCCCACTGACCACCAGTGAAATGGTTTTAGCTGGGTTTCCCCAAGACTTGAAATTTATTTCAAGGGTTCCTCTGGGGTAAAAAGGTTGAGAAAGGCTAGTGTATATTATGTATATTTCTTCTGATGATCATCAGCATCATCTAATGTCCACAATGTGGTATTTTCCCGACTGTCGCAGATTTTCACATAAACTAGTCAGACTGAGGCAGCAGAGGGACTGTGCTGTGTGTTTTTGATGGAATTGTGTACTGGATGGTCAGCAAATGGCTAAGACAACATACACAAAAGCATAGAGAATACAGAACAAGCATTGGGATTTACATGACTGTCAGCTCTGGACCAGCATCTCAGTCCAGGGAATAGATGCTGACTCCAGATGATGTCTGGACAAAGATGGCACTATCCTTCTGGGAAGACAGCAAGATGGAGGCATTGGGTTAAACAATTTTAGCATACACTAATTCAACATGAAAAAATATTGGAAGTATCTCCAACAAACCCAGGCCTGACATGATAGTGGGGATTCACATTCCTCTCTGCAATGGTTGTGGTCATATAAGTTTTGGGAGTTTATTTTGTTTATTAATGCCTTGGAGTATAACTATAAGAATTTGTTATAAATAATCCAAGAGCAAAAATCTAGTGAAATACACTTTGGAGATACTTATATACCAATTCATAGGAATGTTCTAGCTTTGCTGACAATTATTCCTCCTGTAACCCAATATTAGCCATTATTTTCAGTGGGAACTGGCAAAGGAGTGTTCCTGGAGTAAACCTTTCCCATGTGTTTCGGGGGTCACAGAAACATAGCTTTTCCTATATACAACAGCGTATGACATATGACATACATCTACACTTCCAGCAAATGCTCCAGGAAAAGATGAGGAGGGTTAATCTCTGTGGATGGGGGTCATTTTTCACCCTGTTACATAACTCCCTTCATATGTCTGAGTAATAGAAACATTTCTTTCCTGTGTCACTGTACAACACTAGATCCAGATACTACAATGAGTGTTCCTTCTCTTCCTTGATTCTGCAGAAAAAAACTATTTGTGTGTATTATAATACAACAGAGTAGAATATAACGGGGTATTATAATACAGCAAAGAAAAAAACCCTTGGTATTATAGTACAACAGAGTAGAACATGTTAGGGGTATTGTAATACAGATAAGTGGAGCATACCCAGGGTAATATAATACAGCAGAGTAGAACATACCTGGGTAATATAATACAGCAGAGTAGAACATACCTGGGTAATATAATACAGCAGAGTAGAACATACCAGGGTAATATAATACAGGGTAATATAATACAGCAGAGTAGAACATACCTGGGTAATATAATACAGCAGAGTAGTAGAACATACCTGGGTAATATAATACAGCAGATTAGAACATACCTGGGTAATATAATACAGCAGAGTAGAACATACTTGGTTATTATTATACAACAGAGTAGAACATACCTGGGTGTTATAATTCAGCAGAATATAACATAACGTGGTATTATAATACAGCAGGGTATAACGTAGCGTGGTATTATAATACAGCAGGGTATAACATAACAAGGTATTAGAACACAGCAGGATATAACATAGTGTGGTATTATAATACAGCAGGATATAACATATCGTGGTATTATAATACAGCAGGGTATAACATAACGTAGTATTATAATACAGCAGGGTATATCATAGCGTGGTATTATAATACAGCAGGGTATAACATAGCATGGTATTATAATACAGCAGGGTATAACATAACGTGGTATTATAATACAGCAGGGTATAACATAGCATGGTATTAGAATACAGCAGGGTATAACATAGCATGGTATTATAATACAGCAGGGTATAATGTAGCGTGGTATTATAATACAGCAAGGTATAACATAGCGAGGTATTATATTACCGCAGGGAATAACATATCGTGGTATTGGAATACAGGAGGGTATAACATAGTGTGGTATTAGAATACAGCAGGGTATAACATAGCATGGTATTAGAATACAGCAGGGTATAACATAGCGTGGTATTATAATACAGCAGGGTATAACATAGCGAGGTATTGGAATACAGCAGGGTATAAATGTAGCGTGGTATTAGAATACAGCAGGGTATAACATAGCATGGTATTAGAATACAGCAGGGTATAACATAGCGTGGTATTAGAATACAGCAGGGTATAACATAGCGTGGTATTAGAATACAGCAGGGTATAAATGTAGCGTGGTATTAGAATACAGCAGGGAATAACATAGCGAGGTATTAGAATACAGCAGGGAATAACATTATTAGGTATTATAATACAGCAGGGTATAACATAGCGTGGTATTAGAATACAGCAGGGTATAATGTAGCGTGGTATTAGAATACAGCAGGGAATAACATAGCGAGGTATTAGAATACAGCAGGGAATAACATTATTAGGTATTATAATACAGCAGGGTATAACATATCCTGGGTTATTAATGGTCGTTTTACTGCTGAGTCTATGCATGTCACTAGAAAAAAAATCTTCCTTGGATGGATCTCTAACAAGCTGTGATCATGCTCACATCTGTTCCTGTTTGTCCTGGCGGTCATTACAATGAGTTATGAGAAGAGAGTATATATCCTGCCCATCATCCTCTCCAGCTGCAACATCAAACACATTTACTACTTTCCACGCGTGTACACTCACATACATGTCTGCTGTGTTTTATAGGCTGAAGACATTAAGGACAGTGCTATGCCCCCCTCGGTCCATGACCCTGAATGTGTGACCTTCTGTATACAGTACTGCTCCTCCTACCATCATAGTGACGGGGTTTCTTCATTTTATACTAATTATTTCACTACCCCAGTCACCCACATTATGGATTACAAGGAGCACTGTGAATGACATGTAATATCACCCCTGGGACCTTTGTACCTTTCCATGTTTCCTCTGATGGTTGTCCTCCTAGTCTGCCCTGTGTCTCATGTATCTACATGGCGGGGACAGACTTTTGGGTTTATAAAGGCAATAGGGACACGTCTAATCTTCGACTTATTGATCCTTAAATGCTAAAAAATGTAATATTTTCCTAAAGTGTGCAGACCAGCATCTGCCGCATACACGTTTACTGTGTTCTTCTCAGGGACGCTGCCAGATCTATTCCCTATAGGGCCGTGGATAGAGGTCTGTACATCTCACTGCCATGAAAGGTAAATATGATCCCTCAGGTGGGATGAGGATGTGTTCCTCTGTGTTCCACAGCAATGTCCTTGGCATCTCCTACAATAAATAAATATCTGTGCCCCTTCTCCTCCTCCTGTGGACTTGCTCACACATGTATGGGGGATTGGGTAATAATGGAGTTATTCCAATAACCCAGCACAACCTCCAGCCTCTATCACACCAACATGTGCTGTGGCATTGTACACTGTACACAGGAGTTCCATGGTCTGTTCTAAGAGTAGCATTGGTGGTGGTGGTGGTGGTGGGGGGGTAGAAAATACAGACCATTGTGTAATAATGACATTATGTCTGCTTGGAAATGGTTATCTGTTAATTCTGTATTTTATCCTATATCTAGGTGGATGGGTCCTGGGGGAAGTGGAGCCCATATGGGCATTGCTCCCGGACTTGTGGTGGAGGTGTTCAGCTGGCAAAAAGAGAATGTAACAACCCAGAACCATCCCACGGAGGGGCCTTCTGTGAGGGTCTACGGGTCAAATACAGATCCTGCTTATTAAATCCCTGTCCTGATACAGGTGAGTGTCCTCTGTTCAGTGCTATGTATACCATTCCCTCCATACCTGTTCTCAGAACTGCTCTCCCGATACAGGTGATTGTCCACTGTACATCACTGTATATACTGCCCTTACCTCCATACCTGTTCCCTGAACCCTGTCCTGATACAGGGTAATAATCCTGAGTCTCCCAGGCTATTATGCAGAGTGCCCAGCGGGTAACAGTCCTGATATCTCCCGGGGTATTGTGCAGAGTGTCCAACAGGTAATACTCCTACAATCTCCCTGGAGTATTATGCAGAGTGCCCAGCGGGTAATGTCCCAATATCTCCCAGGTATTATGCAGAGTGCTCAGCGGGTAACAGTCCTGATATCTCCCGGAGTATTGTGCAGAGTGTCCAGTGGTAGTACTCCTACAATCTCCCTGGAGTATTATGCAGTATTATGCCCCTTGACACGAGCAGCGCAGCGCGCTTTGTCTCCAGTGGGTTCAGGGCACGGGAAGCCTAGTGCCCGCGCTGCACCCCGCCAGTTGGGTGCGCGGCGACAGATTGGCAGCCCCGCGCCGGAATCCCCTAGCGGGGTGTCACTCCTCTCCCAGCTATATGGCCATAGAGGTGTGAGGTCCGCCGCGTCACTTTCCTCCCATCCTGCGCAGCCTGTCTTCAAATGCTGCGTCAGAATGTGAGGAGTTGACAAGGGGCAGGGGGGGTGAGGTGACCCCTCTCATCCTGTGCAGCCTATCTTCAGGGCTGCGACAGGATGAGGAGAGGGTGACACAGGCACCGGGGGGGGGGGGGGGGGGGCAGAAGAGGACCAGGCACTCCGTGACACACACTAAATACTGACCCCCCCCATCTATAACTGACACATTACATACAAACTCCTCCCATCTGTTACTTTCACATTACATACCCCCCCCCCTACTTACCTAATACTGACACATTACATACGGACCCCTCTCATTTATTGCACAATATACTGTATACTGCCCCCCTCATCTATTACCGGCATATTAAATACTGCCCCTCTCATCTATTACAGACAGATTGCATACTGATCCCTCTTAGCTATTACCAATTCATTACAAACTTACTCCTCCCATTTGTTACTGACACATTACATATGGACCCCTCCCATTTATTGCACAATATACAGTATATTGCCCCCCTCATCTCTTACTGACATATTAAATACTGCCCCTCTCATCTATTACTGACAGATTGCATACTGACCCCTCTTAGCTATTACAAATTTATAACATACTGACCCCTCCCATCTGTTACTGACTCATTATATACTGACCCCTCCTATCTATTACTGACCAGGGGTGGACTGACCAATTGGAACCTCGGGCACTGCCCGAGGGCCCCGGGTCAGTAGGGGCCCCATGAGATGCCCCTAAACCTTTTTCATAGGCTTTTTTGAGTTTGGGCAAGGACACAGGGGCCCCATGATCCCCTATTGCCCGGGGCCCCATGAGTTGTCAGTCCACCCCTGTTACTGACACATTACATACTGACCCCTCCTCTCTATTACTGACACATCAGTCTATCATTATCTTCAGTGAATTTTCTCCCCCTGAAGTCTGGTAAAGTATACAGAAATTCTGTATTTCAGGTAAAGGCTTCCGGGAGGAACAGTGTGAAGCTTTCAATGGTTACAACCACAGCACCAATCGACTGACATCCACAGTAGGCTGGGTCCCCAAATACTCCGGAGTGTCTCCAAGAGACAAGTGCAAGCTGATCTGCAGAGCCAATGGCACCGGCTACTTCTACGTCCTGTCACCAAAGGTTGGTACCCCAAAGGGCGGCAACTGCACAGATAGGTGTGGTGGAGATATCTGCGTAGAAGTGTAGATGTTTATCTTCTGACATAAGAAGATTGCAGACACTCATCCATAAAGCAGAACTTCACTCTCTCAATCAACATGGACTATTTCTAATCCTTATGCTGCTAGCATTAGTAAATAGATAGGAAAGTATATCATATTTACTGGTTTTTTTTTGTAACATTTCTTCAGTACCATCCTTGTTTCCATACCCATGCAAATTATGTCATACATCCCAGGAGCCTTCAGGAGGGGAGGATGGGTTTTCTCAGCTAAGCACACCCTCCAGCCTGCATAGCCGAGCTAAGGGCAGATGGATTCCAGGAAGTAAATGCTCCATGAACCATCTGACCTTACTCAATTCTGGTGAAAACCAGCATTTGTTTCTGAGTGTCACCACCTTTAGTAGGATGTTTCCACTCCACCTATTGCATTCTCTATAATATACAAGAAATAACATCCAGCAAGGATAGTGGGAGCACATTATGATGGGTACAGCAGATGTACAGACCCAGGTACTCAGTGCAGGGATGGTAGGGACCCCTCATAATAGGTGCAGCAGGTTTAATGACTCAGGAACTCAGCACAGAGATATCCTTAGTGCTCGATACATAGAAAAGACAGATTTGGTTTGGTGAATTGGCCCCAAAGATATTCAGTAAATGTATAAATGTATAAAGAAATGCATACTCTTACAACTAATTTCCTGGTGGTACTATGCTAACTGCTGTCTGTTTCCAGGCTCTTTTCATTCTGACACCAATGTTCTGTCCATACAGGTAGTAGATGGGACGGTATGTGCACCGGACTCCACATCCGTCTGTGTACAGGGAAAGTGTATTAAAGCCGGCTGTGATGGGCAGCTAGGCTCCAAGAAGAAATTCGACAAATGCCGAGTGTGCGGTGGGGACAATAAAAGCTGCAAGAAGGTGTCCGGACTCTTCACTAAACCCATGTGAGTGCCAATGGGAAGCCAGAGAAGCTGCTTAAACAATGATGACACAATTCTTACACATCCACCACCCCCACAACAGATCCAATCTTATCAGCAGATGCAGTACACATAGTACAGATCAGTTCCACCATGTACAGTCACACCTCTATGTGCATCCAACGCAGACTTGCAGTTTGTGTGTAATGCAATCGCCACCCTCACAGAACTGCATAGCCGTCAGAGAAAGAAGGGTGAAATTCAGGCACTGACACCTCTGTACATGGATTTTTTTGCAGAGCTGGAAGTTGCTGGGGATTGTCTAGAGTGGTGGTTTACAAACTGGCCCATGGGCCAGATGCAACCTTTTGCCTGCATTTTTCTGGCCCATGGGTAAAAATTCTTCTCCCTAATATGAGGCACTATTCCTCTTACTGACACCAACAATGGTGCATAATTCCTTCCACTGATCCACTGACACCGACTGGCCATTATTTCTCCCACTGACACCCAATGATGGGGCACTATTCCTCCCACTGATACCAACGATGAGGCACGTTTCCTCCCATTCATACCAATGATGAGTCACGATTCTTCCCACTGAGACCAATGATGGGGCACTGTTTCTCCAACTGAAATCAGTGATGGGGCACTATTCCTCCCACTGATACCAATGATGGGGCACTATTCCTTCCACTGATACCAATGATGGGGCACTATTCCTTCCACTATTCCTTCCACTGACACCAATGATGGGGCACAATTATTACATTTTTTTTTATTCCTACCGACCACCAAGTCTAAGACATTGATTACTCCCACCGACACTGGGGAATTTTCTACTCCAACTGGCTACAGTCGGACCCCCTGAAGTCAGACAACAGTAAACTGGCCCTTTGTTTAGAAAGTTTGACACCTAGTGTAGAGTACAGGTTGATGAAATAATAAAGAAGTAGTAGAAATGAGGCATGGGATTCAAATTATCAGTAGATTAGGTTGTGACAAGACACAGTGGGGTTTATTAACCAAAGCTGGAGAGTGCAGATGCAGGCTCACCTCTGCATAGAAACCAATCAGCTTCCAGGTTTTATTGCCAAAGTTTAATTGAAAAAGCTGAAGTTAGAAGCTGGTTGGTTTCTTTGCAGTAGTGAGCCTGATTTTGCACTCTCCAGCTTTAGTAAATAAACCCCAATTGCTCTGGTAAAGCTGTCTGACAGACAAATAGTCTGAGAGTCCAACAGCTTTCGAAAAGCATTATTAGTTGGCAAATGACAACACAACCAACATGTTTCCAATGCTCCAAGACATCCCTGTCCTTTAGGGATTAAAAGTGATGGATAAATATGAGGATTCAAGGATGGCATAATCACCAGGATTTCATTATTTGCTATGTAGAGATCTACTTATTTTAGTTATATCCAGCAAATAATTATTCCTGGTGCTTTATGCCATTCTTGAGTCCTAATAATTACCTACTAGGTTTAAGCCCGGAAGAAGGAGAAGGTCTTTCAGCTTCCAAGACGTGTGGAGTGTTCTATGTTGTCATTTGTGAACCAAAATTAAAGCGTTTGAACTCTCAGACTGTTTCTTTGCCACTCTTATTAGACTTTATGGATATGATGAAATTATAAGGAAGCTGACAGAACAGAAATATTGAAGAGTATGCTAGGAAGGTGCTGGATTAAAAAAAAATGGCACCTGAAAAGGCGATATACAGTAGAGTCCAAGGGTTAGCGTGAAACAGGAGCACAGCACCAATGGTTTGGAAGTCCAGAACTGTTTTTTTCATTATGAAAATCCAAGGAAAAGATTCTTTTTTCCTTGGATTCTTTTTTCTTGCAGTACTTTTTTTTATCAGGAATTACAGCTTCTAAGCCCTGAGCACATGGGCCGAATATTGGGTAGTATCGGCCAGTTCAACAGAAACCAGCCAATAGTCAGCCTGTGTGTACGGCAGCTGGCCCGACAGAATCCGGATCTTCATCCGGCTACTGTTGAAGGGGCATGACCAAAATGAGAGTGCTGACCTGTGTGTTCTGGCGGGGGGCACATTAATTTACAGTTAAAACTGGTGGAATGGTGGAGGAGTTATGTTGCTCCTTCTGTTCCAACAAGCTAAGGGCTGTTTAGGGTGGCTCATGTCAGAAGATCACAGATTGTAAAATCCCTAACAGAGCTGACAATCAGTGTGGAAATGAGTAGAGAGGACTCCAACTGTGTCAGACTTGCAGCGGTTTTTGGAAGAATATCCAAAAAATTGCAAAAATTGCAAAACATATTGTCAAACAAATGCTGTTCACACCTACATTGTGTTTAAAACATTCTTATCTTGCCAGGATCCTCAGCCAAAAACCACTGAATCTGGTCCTCTGACCTGACTGTTCTGTAGCCTTTCTCATTGGCTGGACTCTTATCTAAGCTGAAGGCTTGCTGTGAATAATTTCTGATCAGCATTTCTCCACCACACACTGAAATCTTCCTTATGTTTGTCCCAATGTGAGAGTTGTGTGCCAAATGTTCCCTCACATAAACATAAAATCTGACTTTACTGAGTCCACATCCTCTCCTCATCCCCCAGAAATTTGTATTAGCAGTACAGGCACATCACATAGTACAGAGAAACTCCATTCTTGTTCAGAGAGACGCAGAGAACCTACTTTACAAATATAATACTGTCAAAGGCTGGAACTTTGGTTTAACTTGCTGAGATTAAATTACGGGAACAAAGATAGTAGCTAGAACATATAATTGGGGGCCTGGAGGAACTGCAAAATCCTCCATTAAACTATTGTGTGATCATTTTAATTTCAAATCCAAACACATAGAGGTTTATTCTTCTTGTAGAGCTGTTCATCCAACTGTCCATCCTGAACTGCTGGTTCATAGAGTAGAGCAATCCAACTGTTTAATCAGAGCTGCTGCTTCATAGCACAGATATGACCTAAGTATAGAGCCATTTACCCAACTGTACATCCAGAGCCACTGCTTCATAGCACAGATACACTTTACCATGGAGCCATCTATCCAACAGTCCATCCAGAGTTGTTGGTTAATAGCCAAGATACAGCTTTAAGAAGAATTACGGGCAGTAATATTTTATACGTATTTACAGCATTACATTGGTAACTATATATACCATACTTGGCCAATGCCCCTGGAAGTTGGAAATCCCTGAAGTAGACTCTGCTACTCCAGTGATCCCCACTTGCTTCTAGGTCCCACTCTGAGCAGCTGACCTGCTGCATTCTGAGCACACTAGGTTGGTCGCTTAGCACAGGCACCATTCAGAGAATGCAAAGCACTCTGCGATTGGATAAGGTGGAGAGCTTAACATCATTACACGGCGTCTCCACCTTGTCTAACCAAAGAATGCTTTGCAATCCTTTCGGAAATACAAAATATTTTCTGAATGTCACCCATGTTGAGTGGCCAACCTCCTGTGTTTAGAGTGCAGCAGGGCAGCCACCACAAATGGAGATTACAGGATTAGCGGGTGTCTACTTCAGTGATTTTCAGCTTCCAGGTGCATTGGCCAGGTATGGTATATACAAGTTACATAGGCAAGTTGGACCAATGTCTATACTGGAATTCACCATCCTCTGGTGATTTTACAGCTTCTTTAGGGGAAAACCCATCTCTTCAGGGAAGCCTACCCCGCCCCCTGCTACTTGCCGTATACTCTTCCTACACTCCATCCCCCACAGCTATCTCCTCCTGTGCCACCATCCCCTCCCTCCTAGATTGTAAGCTTGAAAGAGCAAGGGCCCTCGATCCCCTCATGTTTTGCATTGAATTGGTATTGTTAAAATGTTCTATCCCCCTGGTACAGCGCTGAGCGAACTATTGGCGCTTTATAAATATGAATAATAATAATAATAATCCTGTTTTGGAATGGCATTGTTATCCTATACAGGTAGTGTTATGCACACCTACTGCATGGATTTGTGAAAAGAACCCAAAGCAACCAATAAAGGTCCAATTTCTTTGTCAGGTTGCTTGAGATAAATAGAATGAAGCCTGGCTAGTTGTTCATTGTATAGAAAGGACAATTCTTCATAGAGTCACTTTGATAAATAATACCTGATACTGTTGCTAGAAGTAATGTCTTGTGTTCTCTCTACACCTACAGACACGGTTACAACTTTGTGGTCACTGTTCCGGCTGGTGCCAGCAACCTGGATGTGAGACAACGTGGTTATAAAGGCCTAATCAGTGATGACAACTACTTAGCAGTGAAGAACTCCCAAGGTCGCTACATGCTGAATGGGAATTACATTGTGTCTGCAGTGGAGCGTGACATTCCGATTCGTGGCAGCCTGCTGAAGTACAGCGGTACAGGGACTGCAGTGGAGGCCTTACAAGCAATCAACATCATACAAGAGCCATTGACCATAGAGGTATTATGTGTTGGCAAAATGACCCCTCCACGTCTCCGGTACACCTTCTATATCCCTAGAGAAAAGAAAGACAATTCTGCTGGACAAATAATAAGTAACAGCCTGGCTGCTCTGCCCCCTCCTCCTCCGCGACCCAAACCACAGTCTCAGTGGTCGACCGGCAACTGGGGAGAATGTTCTGTCACCTGTGGCAATGGGCAGCAGACTCGAATCGTGGAATGTCGTGACCCCTGGGAACATCTGACATCTGATTGCCCGGCCTCTCTGCGGCCACCAGTGGTAAGGACCTGTGGTGACCCATGCCCCATGTGGGAGGCTGGAGGAGTGGACAAGCTGTTCAAAGATCTGCGGCAGGGGGTTCAAGAGACGGCAGCTGAGGTGCAGTGCAGGTGGGGGAGTAACTTTACCCAGAGAGCACTGTAAGTTAAAGAGAAAACCTCAGGAGCTGGACTTTTGTATGCTCCGACCATGTTAATGCAGGGGGCCAAAATAAACTGCTGACAAAACTAGAACTTGCTCCAGGCCCAGAGTGGAGGGGATGTGCCAAAATAAATCCATCACCCAAATACCTGGAGCACCACGTCCAATGACCAAAGAATCTACTGTTACATTCTGATGGTAACGGCAGTAATAGTGAACAAAGGGACATTTGAAGTCTAATTGCTTTGCACTTTCTCTTCGTGGGTCTATGTCCGTTGTGTCCGTTTTCCATGTTGGCGAGTCTGGCGTTTCTTCCAGGATGCAGACTGCATTGTAGAAATGGATTTTCCTGAAGAGTTTTAGACTGGAGCTATTTCTTAAGACGGTAGTGAAAATGTTTTCTCTAATTTTTACAATATTTGAGAAGTGTTCTAAAGAAAAAAGTGTTCATCTTACCCCTAATTAATGGATCAGATTATGTGATTCATTTTTAAATCTGGACTTTAAAAATAAGACTAGGAACTCTTGCACTGGGGCCACAGGAATACTTTTTCTTAGAGCAGTTTTCATTTACAAGGGTCTTAATATTATGTCACTGGAATGATATGACATACGGGCTCAAGTATCTTGTATCCTCCTAAAGATCTGAGCCCTTTTCCGATAGCTCCAAGAAGTCAGTACCTTGTGTACTATGCTGACTTCTCCGTTAGAGCAGATCTGGGACCTCATACACAATATACAGTAAATCCAGTGTAATAGAACATGATGTTATAATGGTGCAGCTATTATTTCCATGGCAGGATTAGATGGTCAGAAAGCTGGTAAACAGGAGGATTCTTCAGAACCCTGGAAACATTTAGGAGCCTATTTAGAAAGATCCACAAAATAACTTCTCATTTTCATCCTTTTATCTGTTTCACTGCTAAATTCCAGCTGATTCCCCCCCAGTACTTAAAGTCTGACATGGGAAATTATATGGAAGTGCAGTGCAAATTTTTTTTAGATTGGTTTAAAAAAGCAAAGAGAAAAAAACAAAGTTGCAAAATGAAAGTTAAAATCCTGACATGATTCTTATTGTATACTTACATTGGTCCAACCTGGCACAATGTAAGTATTTGAGGGGGCCATCGCTGTGGTAGTTGGTGCTACTACAGTGATAGTCATGATCTTCTGGTTTCTGTACTGAGAAGCATCCGCCATGCACACTGATTACAGGGGGGGTCGCCTGCTCATCACTGCCACCATTTATAGAATGCCTTGTAAATTTTTCAATGAATACGATACAGTATGAAGTTGTTCTCAGATTGGACAACGTGAAGATTGTGGCCACGCTGACCCTCCTCTCCACCTCATCCAATCAAAGAATGCCTTGTATTCTTTGCAAAATTACAAAGCATTCCATGAATGACGGCAAGCAAGCAAGTAAACCCCTGTGGTCAACGTGCAGAGGGGAAGCTGGTTGCACAGCAGATAGAAGATTGTGGCTATCACTGTAGTAGCGTCAACTACTATGATTATTTTCAGCATCCTTTCAGGTATGAGCTATGCATGCTTGACATTGTGCAAAGCTGGACCAAAGTTAATGTACAATAGAGGTCATACCTGGAGTTTAGCTATAGGGAACATACAGTTACTTTACCTTGAAAAGCAATAAAGTTGAGTACTGTCAACACGTGCACTAATGTGACTAAGCTCACCATTACCTTAAAGTGGTTGTAAACCTCAGATATGAAATATGAACAAAGCATATATAATGTGTATTTGTCTCAATCCAGAGCACTAAGTGTCATTTCTGTCTGCTGCTTCGTTCCTCTACTATCAGCATGAGTCACTTCTGACAAGTTTTCCTGACACCAAGAGAAAATGGTGACAGGGGAGGGACCTCTGGCAGATTGACAGCCTAAGCTCTGTTCCTTTGAGCTGTATGGAGGAGGGTGTGTCTCTTCCCTCCAATCAGCTCTCAGAACTCTTCTCACTGAGCTCTGCAGGGTGTAACTTTAGCTCTCTGCACCCTGTTTTCTCAACTCTCAGACAAGCCTCATGAATTCCAGACTTTGAATAGAGAAGAGTATAGTGCAGATAGACAGGTACAACTTATGTAGGAGGATTTGTTTCATTTCTGTGTATCACCTGAGGCCAGTCATTTCACTAGGAAAATGTAAAGTCTAATACACACAACCAGAAAATCGTACAAAATATACCACTTTCGAAGAGATATAATGATAATCTGATTGTCAGTACACAGCTTTCGTCCGAAAATATTTGAAGGGACAAGCAGGAAAATTTTTCTTGTACGATACCAGATCATTCGATTTTCATTTAACCAGTACAGTTTTCAAAATTTCAATACAAATACATTACATCACTTCTGAATTTGTATTCTGTCATACAAGAATTTTCGTAACTTTAGTAATCTCTTCACTTTCGATATGAGACTAGCATGCAAAAAAAATGGATGATCATTCGTCCGACATTCTCATCGTGTGTACAGGGCTTCAGGATTTACAACCACTTTTAGGTAAAATCCTCCTCCAGCTTTCTCTCATTGACCATAGTGGATAATGTCAGGTTTAGGGATTTGTACATTTCCACAACATATTCCTTAAAAGCTTTGGAAAGTCTTTTTAAAGCATATGGTCTATCCATATGATTCCATACAAATATGGTCTATCCATATGGTTCCTTACAAATATGGTCTATCCATATGGTTCCATACAAATATGGTCTATCCATATGGTTCCATACAAATATGGTCTATCCATATGGTTCTATAAAATATGTTCTATCCATATGGTTCTATACAAATATGGTCTATCCATATGGTTCCTTACAAATATGGTCTATCCATATGGTTCCGTACAAATATGGTCTATCCATATGATTCCATACAAATATGGTCTATCCATATGGTTCCATACAAATATGGTCTATCCATATGGTTCCATACAAATATGGTCTATCCATATGGTTCCATACAAATATGGTTCCATACAAATATGGTCTATCCATATGATTCTATACAAATATGGTCTATCCATATGATTCCATACAAATATGGTCTATCCATATGATTCCATACAAATATGGTCTATCCATATGATTCTATACAAATATGGTCTATCCATATGGTTCCATACAAATATGGTTCCATACAAATATGGTCTATCCATATGGTTCCTTACAAATATGGTCTATCCATATGGTTCTATAAAAATATGGTTCTATCCATATGGTTCTATACAAATATGGTCTATCCATATGGTTCCGTACAAATATGGTCTAACCATATGGTTCTATACAAATATGGTCTATCCATATGATTCATACAAATATGGTCTATCCATATGATTCCATACAAATATGGTCTATCCATATGATTCCATACAAATATGGTCTATCCATATGATTCCATACAAATATGGTCTATCCATAACAGGGACATTGTTTTCTCCTTTCTCAAACTATGACGCAATTGACAGTAAAAATTGTCCAAGCAGCTTTATAAATAGGCAACTTGTCAGAACTTTTATTTCTTCTATAAATGGGTCCCATAGAGGGAGAGGCTGATATCAGTGGCACATTGAGCTTACAATCAAATTGCTCGTTATATTTCTGAACAGTGTTAAGCAGTGTTAGCTCATCGTTCCACCACACAGGACTTTGTGGATGCATATCCTGCCAGTGTGACAAGGCCGCGAAGCTTACCATTTAAATCAGAATAGAATTTGTCTTGAGCGCCGTTGTGCGACAGTGTAATGGAGTAAGCTAACAGCATGCCAAAAGATTACGTTCTTCCCAATGTAACGTGTCATAATTCTAACTCATATGTGGCACAAATAATGCCCAGCGCCCATCAGGTGCGGCTGGAGGCAAGGAAAGCACATAGTCTACGGGTCTTCTTTATAGATTGGGAGACAATCATTCGAAGTTGCACAATGGACCACATGGAGCTGTATGTTAGAAGTAGCACTTGAAAGCTTTTCTGTGTAAAGCAGACATATATTCTCATAGCAAGGCAGTATGGGAAATCTGGATCCAACAAACCTCCTGGTGAATCTACCTCTGTGTATCTCCAATCAGGGATGATGGCAAGGGGAGGGGCTTTAGAACAGAACATGGAAGTTTGGCTGTGCAGCGAGCCCAGGATAATCATTTAGTAAATGACGGGTCTCATTTACACCTCCTTTAAGAAACCGCCATTACGGCATTCCTAAAAGCACCAAGAAAATCTTGCCTTTTGTTGCTTTTTCACATATCTTTACAGTACAATGGTTTAGGTAGTAAGTCATCCTTAACCCACCTTAAAGGATAAGTTCACCTTTTCTAACATGTTCAATGTTGCCCCCATATTAAGGATATAACATATTATGAATGGACCAGTGCCCGCTCCTCCCACTCCCTGTTGTGACAGCTAGTGGGGGATATTATTCCCCCCCCCCCGCTAGCTGTCACAGTTTTAAAAAAACGCAGCCATTCAGGGCTCTGCCCAACCGGCCACATCGCTCGTTCACAGTATTCTGAGACTGAGAAAACTTCATGTCCACACAGCCTTTGCGGCTGTTGGCTTGTAGTTCGCAATTATCTACAGCGCCATGGTAGTTCATTGGGTCTTCCTGTCAGTGAGTATCTGCCTGCCCGTATGAGATGTACAGATACACTGACAGACCTGCAGGAGGCCTGCATGGCACCAACGATCTGCTGATCTCTAGTGCAATGCTTTAGAGTAGTGGTCTGCAAACTGTGGCCTGGGGGCCGCATTTGGCCATTTGCTTGCTGTCATCCCGCCCTTAGGGCACTATTTCATCCACTAACACCAATGAAGGGATACAATTCCTATCAATGACACCAATGATGGGGCACAGTTCATCCCAATGATACCAACAATGGGGCCCAATAACACCATCAATGGGACACAGTTCCTCTCACTGACACCACCTGAGCCCCATCGCGATCCAGCGAGGCAAATGACAGCCTTGGCTGTCCCGAGTCTCTTCCTTCTCATT